TCAACGGCAGCGGGAAGTGGAAAGCGCACGTCTTACCCTGGGCCGTCTCAACGATCAAGCCGGTTGGCTAGAACAGCAGCTCAAAACCTACAACGACTACATCGAGCAGGCGATGGTGACCTTGCAGAACAAGAAAGGCAAGAAGCGATTCCTCATGCCATTTACCAAACAATGGGACCACCAACGCGAGCTTCAGAAGTCCGGCAAAGTGTTCAAGTTCGGCTCCTACAAGTACTCGGCCCGGAACCTCGCTGACAAGGGCGTTTTGGTTTACTGGAAGGGCTACTCGGAGCGCCAATGGGACCGCGTCGACCTCACAATATCTAGCAATGAAGTCGGTGTCTTCACCCTCGATGGCAGTAGTGGTCCCATGATGGTCCCGGGGGCAAACGCTCAGGTGCCCTTGGACGACTTGTTGCAAGCGCAGTTCAACAACATGCAGTTTATGGACTTCTTCGATGGGCACTTACGAGTCAACGTGAATCTTTTCTTGCATCTGATTATGAGAAAGTTCTATAACGAATGATTGATATGATGGGGTACTCGGCGGGACCGGATTGATAAGTTCAGCAGGATTTATCCCGAAATCTCCCTACTGACGTCTGTTTGATTTTTGTTGCTTCCGTCCCTCATTCAGTTTTATTCCTCCAGTATTGTGGTTCCTCATCTGCGGATATGAGCCCGTTCAGCATGCTTTAGTTGATGATGACCCTTTCTTACCAGCGATATCCACTTCATGCCTGATCAACCCTCCTTCTTTCTGCTTCAAAGCCTGGCATCTCGGCACGCGATTCCCCCGCAAAGTCTTTACATGTTTTTTCTGCCATCGCCTTGAAACCCTACCTTTCACTGATTTCATTGATGATTCCCCCGTGATAGTTTAGACGAGTCTTCTATGTATGTATTGGTCCCATAGTGTTTAGTAGTACATGATATGGCAGCTTCCGCAAGGCAATCTAGATATGTAAGTCATCACACCCGCTGAAAGGGTAATAATGCGATTGTAGCCTATGATAATGTACATCTCTCGTACATGCGGACATGGACCTGTCAGGGGGTTCTCACGTGACTTCATGGATGCCTTGGGCCCCAACTGCGGATACCAGCTGGAATCCCCGAACTCCCGCCTCCTCGTTGTCCCCGTCTCCCTCGTCCTGAACCTCGAGAGTCCTTGCATATACTGCATTTTTAGTCCTTCTGTCTTTCTTTCTTTTGTTTCTCAAAAGTTTTGTCAATTCACAAGAGTGCAGATTCACCGGGAAAAGCTGAGTCTGCGCCATGGATTTCAACAGTCTGAAAGAGCAGGTCAGCAACCTGACCTTGTATGATATCAAGGCGGGAGTCCGCAAGGTGCAGAATGGTAGGTACTCCAATGAAGCATCTACTGGCAACCCGTCTTTCTCTCCAGATTTCCGTCAGCCCTGAACGGTTGTCTACTATGGAAATACAAGCTCTGGTATTAATTCTTGTTTCTTAGCTGTCATGAACTACACCGAGATGGAGTCCAAGGTTCGTTGTCACCGCCCTGCCAGTCGCATTGGCGGCTTCGCTCTCGTCCTGAGAGCGCGATGACGGATTGCCCGGGTTGGTATGCAAGTGTCTAACTGCGAGCAGGTCCGAGAAGCTACGAACAATGAACCCTGGGGCGCTTCAACTACATTGATGCAGGAGATCGCCAACGGAACTCACAACTAGTCAGTTATCTCCCTCGCTCCGTACTTGTCGCGATGTCGATTACTCGATGGATCTTGGCTCCATGCTAATCTCCGTTGCTAACAGCCAGCTGTTGAACGAAATTATGCCGATGATTTACAAGCGATTCACAGACAAGAGCGCGGAGGAGTGGCGACAGATCTACAAGGTACGATAACGCGGGCTGGTGTCCACCCAAGAGCGGCTAGACTGATTCGTCCGTTTGTGTCATGCAGGGTCTTCAGCTGTTGGAATTTCTGATTAAGAATGGCTCGGAGCGCGTTGTCGACGACGCCCGGTCTCACCTGTCCCTGATCCGGATGCTCCGCCAATTTCATTACATCGACCAGAACGGCAAGGACCAAGGTGTGAACGTGCGCAACCGATCGTCGGAGCTGGTGAAGCTGCTTGGTGATGTGGATCTTATTCGCACCGAGAGAAAGAAGGCCCGTGCGAATCGCAACAAGTTTGGTGGCTTCGAGGGCGGAATAGGCTCCGGTGGAATGGGTGGCATGGGGAGCGGCTTTTCCGGTTCCACCGGCAGGTACGGCGGATTTGGCAGCGATAGCCTGTCCTTCGGTGGATACAGTGGAGGAGTCTATGGTGACGGCGGCGGCTTTGGAGGTGCTTCTAGCGAGTTCCAGGATACAGGACGGAAAGGGAACCGGTTCGAGGAGTACGACGAGTATGATGAGGGCGACGCCAGCCCGGCGCGGCGTCACGGACCCAGCCCTCCACGTCCCAAACAGGAAGCGAAGAAGCCCGAGCCTCCCAAGGAGCCGGAACAAGACTTGTTTGACTTTGGCGAGGAAGAGACGGTCGCTGCTGCTTCCACGTCTACTGCGGCTGGCAAGAAGCCTGCCAGCAGTAACGGCCTGGATATTCTCGAGTCCAAACCGGTCGATGACGATGACGAGTTTGATGACTTCCAGTCCGCAACGCCAGCGCCCCAGCCCGCAGCCAACCAATTCGCTATTCCCGCGCCCGCGTCCACGGTCAGTACGACCTCAAGTACTCAGTTTGCTGCTCCTCGGCCCGTTTCTGGCGTGCAAGGGCCGAACCTGAATGGTTTGGTCGGATTTACGTCAATGACCCCGACTCCGACATCGAGCACGGTTGCCTCTCCCACACTTTCTCACAGCTCCATGGTGCCGCCATCGCAGCAGGCAAAGCCCGCACAGCCCAAACCGAGCGGCTTCCAGGCTGCCACTCCCAACTACTTCACCTCTGTTACCACCGCCACGGCACAGCAACCAACGGCCATGATACCCAACCATCGACCGGGCATGCCCTCGACCTCCTCTTTCTCTTCTGCCCGGAGTACCTCATCGGCGGGTGGTAAGCCGGCGGCATCTAAGTCGTCGGGTGACGCTTTTGGGTCTCTCTGGTCGTCCGCCAGTGCCAGTGCAGGCATTCAAAAGTCATCCGCAAATGCAAGCAAGGGGCCCAATCTGGCCAGTATGGCCAAAGAGAAAGCGAGCGCGGGCATCTGGGGAACCCCGGCCCCGTCGAGCAGTCTCACTCCAGCTTCTCCTCCTCCTTCGATGAGCTCATCAACACAACAACAAGGGACAAAGACCGGCAGTTCGGGGCTTGACGATTTGCTGGGCTAATTGTCTCTCGTCGCGGATGGTTTTATTTGTTTTTCTGTATTTGCTTTTGATTACCAGGCGATACTCTCCGTAGTGCAATTTTTTCTCAATATCTCTTTCATTTCTGGTAGGAATCGATATACAGGGTTCTAGGCCAGTCACCAAAGATCATTTGTCCATGAGCGCAGTCTTCTCACTCCACTCTGTATTATTTTCGAGATATCTTCTGCATGCCTTGCTGTTGAGTAAGCTAATTTGAATCCTCCTCAGCCCATCACTCCAGCATCCAGAGGGATCTGGGAATCTGCGTAGGTCGTAGAACGCAAATGGTCGAATTAAGGTTGGCACCACTACTAGTATCTCCTTGATACGATGATTATCTGCACACCATCCTCGCTTGGGTATGTGGCCCTCAATATGTCGCCATTTATATACCCCCGCCGAGAGACTCCTTTCTTCTTCGGGTGTCAGTCATGATATCTGAATGGATCATCTGCCTCTACTCTATATGGAAATTGAAATTCTCCCACTATGGCCATCAAAGTCATCGCGAAAGTAGATTGGCTCTTCGAAGGTTAGACCCTAGACAGGGGCTCGTATTTTCCCTGCAGCGTTCCCTCCAGAATGTGTGCTGTCTCGACGATCAGCACCCGCTCAGGTAAAGTGCCTCCCTGATGCATACCACAGCGTCCAGAGTAGCCTTGGTAGGCAAGAATAATAGTCTAGACTAGGTCCTCATCTTGTGTCGCATTCCCGCTCTGAACCACATGGATAGTTATCTGTCTCATTCTTGAATCTTGACCCTCGAGTCTCCTCCTTTGCTGTGTAACCCCCGTCAAACAGACTCGGGTAAAGGAGACTTAAAGCTATCCAATGAGTGGGTGATACCCCGGAGAAGATATGAGGGACGGAATGTACTCTTGTACTTCCATCTCCCTGATGCCTATCTTGCTCCACGAACTTGGCACAGTCTATGACTGGACGACTGGTTCGCATGTTTCAGCCGCACGAGTGAACTGTGATTGATTCAGTGTCAGTCGTAAAGTCTGTTTTTAGCTATGGGGGGCGTTGATCCCTTAACTACGGTTTAGGCATATAATATAGACAGATCAGGTTCTCTTCGTATTGCTAGTTAATCTTCCTCTAATAATTAATACCATCGAGTTTCGGCATCATTTCTCTATATCCATTCTACGACCACGATCATGTTCGTCGACCCCAACTTCGGAAGCAACATATTACTCCCCCGTCAAAATATCCAGCCATTCAATGACTGCTCAGGCGGTATTGGCGACGGAGAGTGCCTCCCAGCCTCTCAATGTACCTATACTCCGTACTCCATACCCCGTAGCGAAGAACCATCTAACTTGCCCAGGCGTCGGTATAGTCTACACAAACCAATGCCAAAGCGACCCGTCTGACTACACGGCAAGACAAGTCCTGCCTCTCCCTGTCCTGTCCTCACACTAATATTAGCTCGCATAGTGCTGCCTCCAACGCCGCTGTACCGTCTCCGAAGGAACAGGCTATTGCCGCGACATGTCGAACCAGACCTGCGAGGAGGGCGCATACTTCGCCGGCACATCGGTAGATCCATTGCCCCATGCTCAGGGAAAAAAAAAGCAAAACCTCATTGTCAACTGACAGAAACGTATCTAGTATCCGTGGCCCTGCCCCGGGCCGAATAACATCCAATGCTGCGTGAAATACACCAACATGACGAATCACACATCCACATCCTCAACTCGCGCATCGACAGGGACAGCTACGCTCCCCATTTCGAGTACACCCACAAACACAAGCGCAAGCGCAAGCACAAGCACAAGCAGCAATTCAACTCAACCCCCAACTTCCACCGCACAATCACAGTCCGGGAACGGACTATCCAGCTCGCAGATCGGCGGGATCGTCGGGGGTGTCGTCGCCGCGGCGGTGCTAGGCGGGCTCATCGCGTTCATCTTCTGGTTCCGACGGCGGCGTCGACGCCTTGCAGACGCCCAGCAGGCGGGGGATCAACAACCGCGGCGGCGGGATGGTGAGGACGCTGATGGTGGTGCTGGTGCTGGTGGCACAGCTTCTACTGTGGGGTCGGCGATGCGTGAAGATGAGCATGATACTGTGGGGAAGGATGCTGCGATAGAGATGGACGAAAAGGAGATTCCCATGCTGGGTGGGCGGATGAGGCAGGAGATGGATGCACAGGGGGGAGCGGCGGTGCATGAGTTGGGGGATTCGATGGGGGGGAGCAAGGTTCTTGGGGTGGGAAAGCTGTCGGAGCTGCCTGGGTCTATGGGGAGGATGGCCGAGTTGCCCGGTTCGGAAGTGGATTTCAAGCGATGAACTTGGTGCGATACGATGGTATGGATGTATACTGACTTTATTTTGGGACTGGGTAGCCGGTTGGATGTTGTGGCGTATGGGTTCAAGTATATATATACCATTCACTCGCCATTTACTGTATACCTTGGTTACTAGCATGATCTCTTATTGATTTTCAATCTCACAGAGACTAGAATTGACAGAATGATAGCCCATACCATGCATGATGAGCCCCTTAAGGCCGAAGAATCAAGAACAGATGCTGACACAGATGATGACGCCGGCGCTGGATATTGAAGACAGTAAAACCATGCAGAAAAAGAAAATGTGAAGTATTTACAAGCCACAAGAAGAGCAACCCGCTCTCCTTTACTGGTTTGTTCAAGCCAACAAGCGAAGTCGTATCCCCTTTGCTTCTTTGAGAGCTCAATTTGTCAAAAATCAAGCATCTTCAACCTTCGATCCACCAGGTTATCCGATACGAATCCTCGTCATGAAATATATTGTGTCATGTATATGGGATGACACTGGTCGAGAGTCACCCGGCCTATGTATCATACTGAAATTGCCTTCCCAGGTTGGTCAACAGCTGGCACTTTGCTCAATGAGTGCAATCTGGAAAGCCCATTCAAGGCTGGCAGCCAAGAATGAAGAATCTTCGAATCCGTCTGTCTTTGTAGAAACGGACCCGTTAACGCTCACGACAGACTGAAGGTGGACGTGTTCCCACCTTGCAGCCAGTCCATCCGGGATGCGCGAGGCCAACATTGAGGAACATGTCTCATGTCTTCGCCAGGATACCAATCTGGCTTTCCCTTTTTGTCTTCTGTTTCTCCGACAGTCGTTGTTCCATAGGTGGGGCGCTGTCGATCTCCTGTCCGTTGTGCAGAAAATGTGATGTGTTCGATTCGGTCTCGCCACCGCCAGCTGGGATGACGGCTGAACTCTCCAGATTCGTTGCGCTGTTGGCAATGTGAACAGACCCCCTATCAGAGCTCAGAGGCAGTTGGTCATTCTGAGTTGGTGTGATAGCCTGTTCTGAGTCGGTTGAGGCCGGGCTCAAGTATGTGCTATCATCCTCCTCAGTATCCAGACTTGGGTCGACGCTAAGCGATGTCAGGCCACCTTCGATGTCCCGAAGTAACCGAACAAATTCCTCTGGTACCAAACCGCTTTCCCCTGTCTTTGGATCCTCCGCGACCAGCCAACCCTGGCCGTGCCTGTATGAGACAAAAATCACCTGTCCCTCCGTCAAGGGCAGCTCGTTCTCATGTTCTCTGGTGAAATCAAACAACGCAACCGCTTTTCCATGCATCTCCTCATCGGGGCAGCCAACCGCGAATTGAAAATCGCCCGAGTATCGGTCGGCACCGGAATAATCGTCCTCAGATTCGAACCCTACATCATGCTCACGCTCCTGATAGTCCCCGTAGGTTTCGTTCCCCATGTGAGAATATCGGCTCTCATTCGGAGGATAGGTGACATATTCTCCCCCGGGGCCATCATCTGTCCCGTCATCGTCATCATTGACGTAATAAGTCTCGCTGCCATCCGCGTTCATGCTGACCAGTATTCCTCGCTCAGCGTCACCGGAGAAATAGGCAGATTGATGGCCGCGACCGGGACTCCTCGTTCTTCGGCCACTCGCATTCATCCCTGTCGACTTGTTCTTGCGGTGGCGCGACGCGGAGAACACTGGGCTATGCAAATCTTCATCTTCGCTGTAAGGGGGCCCATCGCCAAACGACATTGCGGGTAATTGCTGCTGCCCGTGACTTTGATCCGTTCTCCAAGGGCCCGAAGACCACTGACCGTGCGAGTTATCCCATGGTGCGGGAGGGTCCGAAAGGCGCCGATGTTCACTTGCCGGAGTGGACACACCGGAGGCACGGGGTGGCAGAGGACCGTAATGAAGTGGGTGGATTGGGGGGTATGCGAAATCCCGAACGAGCGCATATGGCAAGCTTGAATGGAAGATTGGGAACACATGCGAACCAGGACGAGAGCGATTTTGAGAAGTTGCGGAAACATTCGAGTATGTCGATAGACGATCTTTCGCATACGACGATGTCCGCTGCCCGATTTGTGACTTCCCGGAAGCATCTGTTATGATTGGAGGTAGGACCGACAAGTTCGTCATCGAGGTGACCACCTGTGACTGCGGCCGAGAAGCCGATGAGGTTAGGGCTGCCATGATAGATCGACGCGGAGAGGCACGACAAATAATGACGGGTATGAGGACGCTCTCTCCGGGAAGAAAAGCGATCTGAGTTAAAGATGTGTCCGGCGTGGAGGCGGTTATTGTTTGACGGTAAAGGAAGCTTTGGGACTCTAGTCTCGCATCGCGTCGTCGACTCTCCGAATCCGATCAATGTTAGGTCGCAGCAACACGCCCAATGATATGAGGCAAACCCCCAATATAATGCAATCGACGCAGATGGCTGGAGACTATGGAAGCAATAAGAGTGAAAGCATGTAGGTTGAGAGGTACTTTAAGAGCTCCTTGCCTGCAAGCACAATATGGACCACCAACTGTATGAGGCTGGGGTAAGTTGTAATCCGGACCCTCCAAGTCGATGCTGCTTTGGAAAACCCCTGAGGCGATTCTAGACGCCAGATAGTCGCAATGTCTCCAGCGTCTCAGTTGGCGACTTTTGCAACAATCAACGATCGAGATAGGTTCAGTGCGCGGCTATTGATCTCGTAGAAAAAAGCCCCCCAAGAACGCCTCGGTTTGTCTTCGAATCGAGATGCCGAACCAATGGAGCAATGAGCCGTAAGCCCAGTCGGAGCCTTTGCGAAAGAGAAATATGAGGGAACCCTGCAACCAATAGCGGGTTGATTGCTGTCGAGGCAATAACACTGAACTCGAAGGAATTTTGTCCCGCGTTTGGATTCTTGTCGAGTCGTTTGAAGGTACGGAGGCGATGGAAGTGGGAGGTTCTAAATATAGCAGCAGCTGTCCCGGTTAATAAGAAAAGCGACCAATAGTAATGATGGAGAGCACGCAAGAGAGAGATGGAGGAGAGACAGAGAGGGGGAGGAGGGGTTGCAAGGAGGAAGAGCCACAAGTAGAGAGAGTTACTGTGCTTAGTTGCCAGTGCAAGTGATAGTAATAATGATTATCATTCTTATTATTATTAGGGGACAAATGGACGATCGATGGATGGCGGGACCCAAGCAGGAGGTCGGAGATTACCTACTTGCGAGGTACTGAAGACTCAAGGCCCGAAAGCGTTTAGGATCATCGAGGCGCAGTTAACTGGTGGAGAATAGAGGGCTTGACTCGCACCAGCAGCCATGCAGAGACGAGAACGTTATACCAAAAAGTCAAGCAAAATCTCGACTGAAGCTTCTTCGGTGGCTCCAAATCATGGTACAAAGGTCAAATCGGTCAATCGGTCAATTCAGGAAGATTTAATAATATGAATCAATCTCCTCCTCGCAGCGTTTTCCCTCCTTCCGCCGCCAAAGATTTGGAGGTCTCCACGTGACCTGCCACGCGCGGACTAGCGTGTTTCAGGAATATGATGCCTTGATCTATTCCCACCTTGGAATCATGCCTGCGGCCTCATTGTCCCCTTGCGTTCGTCCAGGCTGCAACACCCATTTAACAAAGGCGAGCATTTTCTCGCATGTAACCTAATGGTAGGCTGGTATGCGAAACTGGTTGCCCTTGCTTGCTGGAGAATGATCAGGCTGGCTGAAAGATTTATGAACAGGACAATTCCCCTGGCGAGTGGCAACCACACAGATTGAGCGTACATGGTTCTCTACTTCTACCATTATACTCGTAGACGATGGTCTTCAACTGATTTGCTGGGATGGAGACACTTTCTATTCATTATAAACAAAGAGGAACTGGAGTCAAAAGTAATAAAAAAAAAGCACAGTACCAGCTGTGGCTGACAAACGAGAGCTCTAGTGTAGATCTGCCGAGCTTTTGCCTTGAGAATAATGCTGTTGGAGAATCAGACAGGCTTTCGGAACCAGTTCCAAGCTGGAGCAGAGAATCTGGCCGTGGAAGAGCTAGGCGTTGATGAGCCTAGACTGGTCTGACAGGCGTTCGGCTGAACCGTCTTGGTCAAAGTAATGAAAGAAGTCACTGTCGCTAGTGTTGGCTGCTTGGGTATGGCAGTCGGTGTCGGTATCAGCCGAGATGTTGAAGAGACAGGCGCAGAGAACGAGGAACGTTCTACTCCAAATACCTCTGCGAACTGAGATGGGATGGCTGCATTGTTCAGGGACTGATCCTCGACGTAGTTCGCCGGTATACGGACATGAGTAGGAGGCCCATCAATCACATCCACATCGATGCAGGTAGTATAGATCTCTTGCTTTCCATTCGGCAGGGATGGGTCCACTCCTGGAGCTGTAGGCCAGTCCCAAACCCAGTATAGCGTGTAGGGCTTGCCGGTTGGCGCTTCAGATGGCAGCGCAATGTCCTGTTGGCACCAGAGATCAGCTCCCATGAGTTGGGTTGCCTCATGCGGGTATGTGGCCTGGCGATGTTCGGAAATTGCCCCACTGTTTATCTGGTAGCAACGGCCATCGTCAAAATTTTGCATCGACAGGAGGACGCCGCGCCCGTCACCTCCTGTGCCTTCCTTGTTCCAGATATTGTGCACGTCAAGAAGCCGTTCGTCGTCCTTTGGCTCTGTCGTCCCGTATACATATATCGCCCCACGATTCCTTGGTTTGCCAGGCTGATTCTGGGGTAGGGTCACATGGCCATTTTCCTGGAAGCGAAGGGCGATAGCAGCGCCAGGACATGCCTGAAGCCTTGGACTACCCTCGGTCTGGGACTGTTTCTGTTGTGTATCCTTGCACAAACGATCACTCGGAAGGATTTGGCTCAGATTAGCCCGGCCATCAGGCGGTATCAGATTGGTCATGGTCTTGTCGTTGAAGGCGGGATCAGTGCGCAGAATATTTCCTCGAGGATATCCTGGAGACCCAACAAAGGTTCCATTCGGCGCGATGACCATGAGCTGTTCAACCCAAGAATGGGCGACGACTGT